CGTTCCAGAACGTCAACTTGTTAAGTGGGACAATAGAATATTCTATATTATTTTTATTAAAAAAATATAATAATTTTGAAAAATATTTATTTACAGTAAAAAATTTAAAATTACTTATTTTTATAAAATACAATTGTCTTATAAATAGAGTGATAACTTTTCCTTTTTCTCTTTCTGTCTAAAGAAATATTTAAGTGTCATTTTATAATTTTTTGCAACTTATTTAAAATTAGAGAAATAAAATGATAAAAATTAATAGGATAAACATAATAAAATTATTAATTTGTTTTCTTTTAGTGTCCTCTAAATTTTTACACTCATTTAAAACAAAAATATTTTATATGTTATTTTGAATTAATTTAACGACGTATCATATAATTTTTAATTTTTTTTAAAAATTTTATAAATTTGATCTATACATGAAAAACTTTTTAATTTAACAATTAAATTTTTAAAAATTTAATATAGAACTGTTAGTACCAAGAAAAGAATTCGATGATGCTCGAAATACGGGAGTACTCAAAATCTTAGGTAATCGAAAAATGGCAAGGAAGTTTCTGAAGAGGAGACATACAGAGCCTGAAGAGAATCAAGAGACACGCGAAGATATTTTTCGTGAAACTCTCGAAAGCCTTGAACCTTGAAAGTTGCTGCTCATGAAGAGGGCTCACAGCTTCGTAACCTCTCAAAGTACAAGAAAAATCAGGAAACACTCAAGTATACGTTTTGTAGGTCACTCGAAATCCCAAGGATCCGGATATACATGAGCATACTTCGCAACCCCTCAGAATGAAGAACTTAAAGGAAACACGATTTAAGAGCGGTTGAAGTAAACCATGTCATTTCATCATTTACTGTATAGTGTCAATTTGGTAGTAAGTGGTTCACTCCAATTTGACTAACAATGAAATAAAATCTGCTACCATTGTCTTTAGTGATACACTGCATTGTCTTTAATGATACACTATATAGTCCAACTATTTAGCAATTGAAGTTATCAATTTCCATTGACAATATTACCAAATCCAGTATTTGAAATGTTTTGTACCTTGAGTCTTTTTCCTTCCACGATTCACAATCGTGAACTATAATCATTGATCATTTGTGTTTGGTATTCTAGAACCAAAATGGTCCGTTCTGGTTGCACTCTTAGTGTGTTAATTTTGTACCTGGAACGGGCCGTTCCGGATGCAAAATTAACACACCAAGAGTGCATCCAGAACGGTCCGTTCTGGTTTCAGAACGGGTCGTTCTGGTTCCAGGTATTTTCAAGAAATTTGACATTCACGTGACATCCACCTATGCATCTACGTGGTATCCATGTGGCCAACAATTAATTCCGTTTAAATAATTTGGACGGAAGTCCGACATTGCAACCAATTAATTTATTAGGGACCAAATTGAGACAAAAAATAAAAGTGAGATTAAATTAAAACAAACAATTATTATAAGGAACTAAAATAGATTTTTAACCTTATTATTATTATTATTATTATAAATTAAGTATTAATAGTGTTTTAATTATGAAAATCAAATTATCTCTGATTTAATATATATTATCACACATAAAATAAATAGAATATATGGTGAATATATGTATTGATATGATATAAAAAAAAACATTTTTTATTCAAAATATTTAAATTGATAACATGAGCATAAAATATATGTCATGATATTCATTATTATTATTATTATTATTATTATTATTATATATTTATTAGGCAGAATGAATGTATGTAATATGCAAAAAATATTACGTCAATGAAACATTAATATTTCTCACTTCTGGTGAGGGGTAAGTCAATAAAATAAAAGAGATTGAACATTCTCCTTTGACAGTGTCTTTTAGACACATTTTAAGAATGTATGAAGAGTTTCTTTATTTATTAGTGTTTTCAAGACTACTTTGGTTCATGGTGATGTAAATAATATAAATGTTTGATAAAATACATGTTATAGAAGATGGATAATTAACCTTAAAATATTTGTCTTAAAAAATATGACTTTCTTCGAGAGACTTCTTCAGAGCTTTGTCTTGCAGGTTGCAACATCAATAGATGAAAGACTATCATATTGATAACGTGTTATAAAAAGAAAGAGAAAGTAGAGAGAGAACAAATAAGACAATATGAGACAGAAAAAAGAATTTGACTGGTATATTATCTTTGAAAGAGGATTAGCCTATTTATAAGTACATGTAATAACTGAATAATTACACAAAAATGAATAATACATAATAGAAATATAAATGGTAATAATTAATAGTGAATATTGACATCCACTAATTATTATTCATAACATACACTAAATTATATTTTTAGTTCTTCTATTTATTTTTAGGATCCAATTTAGTCCTATTATTTTTAAAAGGTTCAATTCGGTCCTTTAATTTTTTAAAAATGTTCAATGTTGTCATTTTTCCCAAATTGGTACTTACAATGTTAATGAAATTAAGTGAAAGGACAACATTGAAATTTTTTTTTTTCAAAATTAGAGAATCAAATTGAACATTTTAAAAATAGTGGGATCAAATTAAACATTAAAAGATTCTATTTGGTTATCTAATTTTCAAATGATGTTCAATGTTATTTTTTTATTGAATTTTATTAACGTCATTAATGTCAATTTTGATGGAAAGATAACATTAAACTTTTTAATAAATTAGAGGACCATATTGAATCTTAAAAATAAATAAAGGAACAAAAATATAATTTAACCAAAATAATATGAAAAACAGATGAAAAATTGGTTGATAAAGAATCAATATCTCAACATGAATAATAAATAAAACACTTTGATAAATGTATTTCAAGGCATGATATTTTAGCAATTTTTTTATAATAATAATAAAAGTTTTTCATTCTAATTCTCAACAATTTTTTTATAATAATTTAACAATGTTGTGACTTATTGTTAAACTTCAAGGTTTTGAATTCAAATCTTAATTTGTAGAAGAAAATATGCACAAAGTTTTGATAATGCCAAAGCATTGAAGAAAATAAAGGTCAAGTTAAAGCAAGCTGATCAAGAAGTAAGATCTCAAGTAATAACTAGATAAGTCTTGACTGCTTAGTTTAGTATGTAAAATGAACTTTTAGAATTTGCAAATTTGACTTGGCCATTAAAATAAGAATTTCAAGAAAACCTAAACTTAATACTTTTGAATATAAGAATAAGTTGTTTGAAAAGAAAGCAAAAAGAGTATTCAAAAGATTAAACAAAAATATTTTTAACTGGAAAATAGAAGCTCTTTATATCTTAAGTTTTCATAAGCCAAAACAAGTGACATGTTTCTGGTAATCGATTACCACTTGCTGTAATCGATTACCAGAGAAAGAAAACCTTTCAAAATGTTAAAATGCTCTCTGGTAATCGATTACCAGTGACTGTAATCGATTACCAGAAGAGAAATTTTCAAAATTCGAATTTGAATTATATAACGTTTCAAACATTTTGAACTTAAACCGTTGTAATCGATTACCAAGTCTTGTAATCGATTACCAGAGCCTATTTTCTGAAAAATTATAGAGAGTTACAACTCTTCATGAAAAGACATAACTCAAGATACAATTGTCTATAAATACCTATAATTTTTCAGAGAAAGGTGACGAACTCTATTGTGAAAATCATTTACAAAAACTACTTGGCCAAAAATCATTTGCAAACAATTATCTAAAGAGTTCATCAAGTTCATAGAAAGTGTAATATCTACTCTTTAAAGAGAGTCATTCTGTAATACCCTGTTGATCTGTTGATCTGTAAAGGAGAAAGGGTTTTTCTCCTTGTTGGTGTTTGAATCTCAACACAAGGAAAGGGAGTTCCGAGGTGTTGGAGGATTCAATTCTTGTAAGGTTTACAAGAGTAGTGGAAATCTCAAGTGGGAGACTTGAGGACTGGATGTAGGCAGGATTGGCCGAACCAGTATAAAATCAAGTTTGCAATTCTTCTTTCCCTACACTTTTAATTTCTTGTTATTAATTATAATTGTGTAATTTACATCATCATTCATTCTTTACATACAAATTTGTCTAATAAAATAAATTGATAAAGAAGTAATTGAAAAAAATTTTATTATAAGAGGAAATTTAGTAAACTTAATTCACCTCCTCTTAAGTTAATTGAGGCTAAGGGATTAACATAATTTAATAGAAATATTAATTTTAAATTTTTTAATAATAAAATATTATAATGACCTATCAATTATAAAGACTATAATAGTTTA